AGTCAGAGCGCTGTAACGTTACTCCTCGTCCACACTGACGCCACAGAGTCTCACCCAATACGCAGCAAACCTTATCCCTGCCGGGGAGGTGGAGGACCAGCCGCGCTCTAGCCAGGGAGTCGGAGCGCTCTTCGTGCCTTGCCAGTGTGGACGGGGAGTGAGGGAGAGCGCTCTGGGCGGCTCTATTGCGCTATAACGTGCAGGTGTAGCCAAGGCCTCAGTCATGCAACCTGGAATTCACTGTGGCCAGCTTGACAAAACCCTCTGCTCTCTGCGCAGCTCTGGGGAAAAGGTCAAACAAAATCTGAGAATCCATAAAAGGGGGATGGTGAACAACAGGGAGATATTATATAGCCGTTATAGAAATCAGTGTTTTGCCCTCATCGGGAGTACTGTGTTGGGTACTTCTCACCCCACCTCAGAAAGGGTACCGAAGAAGAAAAGGGGGCTCAGAGAAAGGCAATGAGAATCAGCACGAGGAGAGATTGAAAAAACAGGGGATTTTTACCTTTAAAAGAGAGGAGCAAGAGGGGACATGATACAAGTACAGAATATTGCACAACCCCCCTGAACAGAAGATGATTTAGGTTGAAATGTAAAACACTTGGTAGTTAGGAAATGCTAGTTTTATGCTGCCCTGTACGCCCTTAATTCTCACCCCTTGTGCATCCATCCTGGGCAGTGAAAGAGTGAGACAGGGGTCCTGTGGCAAAAACAGTGTGTGATCATGTAATTGGAGATTGTATCATAAAACACACACACGGGACACCGGCTAATGGGCCAACCCCAGGGACACAATATGTTGCCAGAGAACAGCAGGGTAGCGGGAGTGGAGAAAGGAGCTTTACAGGTAATAACAGCAGAGGTGAAAGGAAGCCGATACGCCCTGCTACGGCCCTACTGGCAAGCCGCAGCGGTGAGTTATATGGGCTCGTGGCTCCAGCAATATTGAGGGCCCGGCTCCACCAATGTTCGGGGCCAGGTCTCCCCCTGGCCCCACCCCGCCCCCGTGCCCCCTCTGAGTGTCCCCTGTTCCCCCCTTGTTGCCCCCCCTTGCACCTCCCTGGACCCCAAAGCAGAGTGTCCCTGTCTCTCCCCTGCAGCTCCTTGCTACCTCCCTGCATCATCTGCTGCCGCAGGGTCCTAGTGCCCCCATTTCACTAGTGGCAGGGCAGGCTGCCCTTCCCGCTCAGACCCTTTCATTTCCCGGCTGGACCCTCCACCAGCACAGGCCATCCCTGCCCGCAGTCACCGCTCCTGCCCCATGCTGGGCAAGGGCTGAGTGAGTGAGGGGTGTGTGTGTCTGTTAATATGTGTCTGCTGAGTTAGTCTGGTCTTTACCAGAGTCAGACAGGAAGATGAACCATCCAGCTTTGGAAATTAACAAGAGAGCAGAGGAATATCAGCCAAAGAAATGGACACACGTTATTTGCCTTTGCTCATTTTTGCACCACAAACCACATGCTTGCCAGAGAGTTTTCTTTATCTTTTGCTTGTGCTAAGAATCAGTGCACTAAAAGAGACATCTGTGCTGGCCACACACCCAACTCCTAAACTATACGGCACAGGCTGGGACGGGACAGATTGGTCAGTGAAGGAGGTAAAAGCCTGAGCAGTAGATCAGGGTCCGTAGGCTTGGGAAGGGTAACATGGACATGAGTTTGGTGGTGGGGAGAGAAGACTGGACTGAGACTCCAAGGATCCTTTGGAAAATGAGGCCTAGGCACTTTGGGGATTTTGAAAACTGGACCCAAAGCCAACAAGTTCATGCTCATTCTCGATCTTTAGTTAAGGAGGGTGACCCCTGACCCCAGTAGACTGTCTGCAGGGACAAAAACCTGTTACAGTGGACAACTCGGAAGGAAAAAATATCAAATCTTCTCCTATGCCCCAGGCTTTATGTCATATTCACAGGAGCCAAAAGAAAACCTTTTTCTCCCGTCCAGGGCTGCCGATGGGTGCGGGGCGGGGAGGCAAAAGGGGCAACTGCCCTGAGGCCTGGAGATTATTAAGGGACCGTGGCGGTGGCCAGAGCCCCGGGCCCTTTAAATCACCACCAGAGTCCTGGGCGGCGGGCCGGTCAGCACTGAAGGGCTGGGTGAGGGAAAGTATCCCACAATTCTGTTGGCAGCCCTGCTCCCATCCCTTTCAAAATTCCCCTTTATGCCTCAGGCCTACTCCCATTGAATTCCAGGGGAGACTGGCCAGCGACATGAATGGCAGCTGGATCAAGTCTTTGTTAGCAGCCTTGCAGTGTCACTTCAGAGTGTCAGAAGGGAAAGTCTAATTTATGATTATTAATAATTATAAAAGTGATAGAAATCCTGCTAAGGAAAAAAAGAGTCTGTTAAAATTGTAGCCACTGACAGAGAAATGCTCACACATGTATTTGGAAATCGTTTACTTTATGATGAACTCTACAACTTATCTTTTTCCCAGTGTAACATTTTATACGCATAAGGGGCCACTCAGTCATTCCCAGAACGCTGGACATTTCCAGACTGTTGGGATTGGTTTGGGCCCACCCGTGTCACCCCATCCTCATTGGTGTGATGGTGCATGTGAGGTTATGCCGCATGGGGGACACCATTTTTCAGAGATGGAGGGGGCGGAGTGATGTCCCCCATCCAACACTGGACAAAATCAGATCCATTTTAGACCCTGTGCTGGATAGCGGACAAACCTCTCAAACAGAGGCCTGGCCATTTTAATCCCGGATGAGTGGCCTCCCTCTATACAACACTAATTTCTGTTCATATGCTTGTTCAGATGAGCACTCATCTCTGATTCTGTGTTTTCAGGGCTGGGAAGTGCTGCACCACCTGTACAAGAAGGTAACTGAAGTTCAGATTCTATCAATGTCCCAATCTCAGCTGCTGTTAGAACGTTTTGCTTCTTTCCCCTGACGGTGGTCGTGGGAGGGGAGTTCATTGCTCAGGGCAGAGCTCACAAGCGTCCTGCATTTCACAGCACGTCGGGAGGGGAGGGAGGTTGTGTAGCCATGGCCTGACATACAGCAGTAAATCCAGACACTATTGTGTCTACTCCTCCTGTCCCTCCTCTGCCTTCATGTGCAGTGCAACCTGCAGAGCTTGCTGGGCTCACCGCCCAGCCTGGCTGCTCAGCCACTGACATGTCCCAGCCCCTATCACGGGGCCAAAGACGCAGCTCCTTCTACCCGCCAGCTCATCAGGGCTGTTCCTGCTCACATCCCCCTCCCTGCCTGAGGCCCTGGGGGCCAGAGCCGTGGTCTGTGGAACAGGAGCAAACTGAATTACGGGTCTGTTCTTAAATGCCCAGCAACTGATGATTAAAAATTCAGAGTTTGGATAGAGAGGAAATGAAGTGTAAATGCTAAAATTCAGAGATTAGCGAGAGAAACAAGATATTTCAAGTGACAGAATGGGGAGGGGAGGAAATAAAATATGCCCAGTTATGAGAACCCTGGTGCTAGAGTACAGGGAGAGCACAGTGGGAAATCATGAGAGTGCAAAGAGGGAGACACATCGGGATTGGGAAGGGCCCAGAGATTGAGGGATGGGGCAGCATTTGAAATGGTCTGGAGGGCAGGCAGTAGCTGGCAGGAACAGGAGGGTGGGGAGAGCAGCAGGCCATCAGCTGAATGGGGCTGGTGGGGAGGCAGTAGGAGTGGGGCAGGTGGAAGGGACTGGAGCTTTGGTGATGGTGGCTGCTTGGAGGGAACAGGCTGGTGAGTTGCTGTTTTCACACTCCCAGCAAACTCTCTCTAACCTTTCACTTCCTGCTGCCCTGGGCCTCCCCTGCCCCATCTCCTCCTCATCCAGTATGGTTTTCTCTCCCCTCTGGGATCCCTTCCTTCATGTCTCCATTCACCTCTCTGCTGTCTCTCCCTCCTTCCCCTCCTGCTCCTTCTCCCCCAGCACTCCCCTTGCTCTCACGTAGGCTGAGGGTGCAGGGATGGGAGGCATCTATTCTCTCCCCATAGCAATGCTCTCATCTGGGAATGTGGGGTTTAAGATGGGAAACTGCAGGGAGAGGTGAGGCGTGTCAGTGAGCACTCAGGAGAAGGAGCTCAGTTTCTCACCACTCCGTGGGGCCCCCCATGACACCTGGGTCTCTAGTCCCCTCCCAGGAGAGATGTGGAGCAGGACAGGAAAGAGCCTGAGTCCCAGACCTGGCTCAAGTGACCCTTTGGCTGCACGGCTGGCCCATCTCTGCCCCAGGGCGTGACTCTCCCCTGCACTGTGCTGACCTCTCAGAGCTGCTCCCCATTCAGAGCTGACGGGTAAATCCTGGAGGAAGGAGATTCCCTGAGTCACTCCCCAGCTGGGGCAGATTCTGTCACTGACGCCATCAAACCCTCCCCCAGGGCCGAGCTCTGCCCCTCACGCTCTGATTCTCTCTCCCCAGCGAATGTGACTCTGGATCCAGACACGGCTCATCCCGACCTCGTCCTGTCTGAGGATGGGAAAAGTGTGAGCCGGGGAGACAGGTGGCAGGATCTGCCCGACAAGCCTGAGAGATTTGACTCTGAGCCCTGGGTGCTGGGCTGTGAGGGATTCACCGCGGGGAGACATTGCTGGGAGGTGGAGGTGGTGGGTGGGCGATACTGGGCTGTGGGGGTGGCCAGAGAGTCTGTGGGGAGGAAGGGAGGGATCAGCCGTAGCCCTGAGGGGGGGATCTGGGCAGTGGAGTGGTGGGGGGATCAGTTCCGGGCTCTCACCTCCCCTGAGACCCCCCTGCCCCTGAGCCGGGCCCCCAGCAGGATCTGGGTTTGTCTGGACTGTGGCCGGGGGCAGGTGACATTTATCGATGCTGGTGCCGAGGCCCCGATCTTCACTTTCCCGCCGGGCTCCGTCCCTGGGGAGAGAATCCGCCCCTGGCTCTGGGTGGGGCCGGGATCCCGGCTCCGCCTGCGTCCCTGAGCCCCACAGCAGAGGGGGAACCGGAAATCAGCCTCTCTAGCCTCACGGCCCCTAGTCTCTATGACCTTGGAGGACTCCCATCCCAGCCCCTGGCACCTCATCTCTATGGCCCCTGGAAGCTCCTCCCCCTCCCTCCCTGCAGCCCCAGGAGGCAGAGGGGGAGGGGGAGGAACCCCTGGGGCTGCAGGAGGGGCAGAGGGGCCCTGAGGGGCAGAGGTGGGGGCTGGGCAGGGGGCAGAACTAACAGCCGGGCTGGGGACAGGCAGAGGTGGGGGGTGGGCAGGGACCCAGCATGAATCAATCAGGGTTTTGGGAGAAGCTGGAAGCTCTGCAGCAGCTGGGAGTATTTTGTGCAGATCTGTGGGATTAGATCTCGCTGGGGCAGCAAGAGGGGAAGGCAGAAAATCAGGGGAAAGAAGGGAGCAGCCAAGGGGGATGATCTGTGGGAGGGGGGAGGAGAGTGGGAAAGACACAGGAAAATAAACAGGGATCACAAGTGAGGGCTAGAAAAATGCTGAGTAGAAAAGGAGAGTATGAAAGAAAAGGGAGAAGGAAAGGGAACATGAGAGGGACAGAGGGATTTATGATGTGTTACTGAAAGTGAGACTGTAACTCATTAATTCCCTATATTAATTCCTGGGCATTGGTGCTATTTTAGTGCCATTAAGCAAACTGCTCTGAGTAGCTGTGGATCTTCTTACAATATGCTGTGGTCATTAAACTCTGTCTTAGCTCCTTTTACTTTCCTGCTTTCCACCTACTTATTGTAAAATAAAAACACTACAAACCATTCTTGTTTCCTTCACCTTCATGTCCCAGCCGTAATTGTTGTGGGCAGCTCAAGAACGTGAGGTCCAACCTCAGGGCAGTTACAAAGCAGGGCACAAACCCCCCACTGGTTGTCTGTTCTGTATTTAGATTTCACTCACCAGGTATCAACCGTGAACCCCTCAAGCACTAAAACAGCCTTAACACGGGTGGCGGGTGAAGCTTCCCCTGGGGGAGGCTAGTTCCCTGTCCCACCTCTTGCAACCCCATTCCACCCCGGTGCCCCCCCCCAGGCCCTGTCCCCACTTCACCGCAGGCCCTGCCCAGCCACCACCATTCACTGCATCACTCTCCTGCCCATGTGAGGGCAGCGTTGATAAGGGATGCGGCAAGGGGGGAGGGCTCTTGACGGGGAGGAGGGGTGAGGAAGGATGCAGAGCAGGTTGGGGGTCTTGCGGGCAGGGGATGGGTGAGAGGAGGGACATGGCAACGTGGGGATCTCACGGGGCGATGGAGTAGAGGAGGGACATGAGTGAGGTATGGGGAGTCTCACGGGCAAGGAGATGGAGGAGAGGAGGGACACAGTGAGTGATGGGTAGAGGCATCTTGTGGGTAGGGGGGTGGATGAGAGGAGGGACAGGGTGCGCTGGGCAGTCTTGCGGGGAGGGTGGAGGAGAGGAGGGACACAGTGACCCGTGGGCTGGGAGATCTTGCAGGGGCTGGGGGATGAGGAGGGATGGGGCAAGTGGCAGTTGGGGGGGGGGATTTTGTTGGGGGGGTGAAGGAAAGGAGGGTCATGGAGAGCAGTGGGGGAAGGATCTCACAGGGGATAGGGTGGAGGTGAGGAGGCACACAGTGAGCAGCGGGCAGGCGTTTCACGGGGGGGGTGAGGAAGTATGTGGTGAGTGGCAGGCGGGGGGGCGGTCTCGCGGGGGTGAGGAGGGATGTGGCAGGCAGGGCCCTCTGAATGAGACACCCATGTGGAAAGTTGGGGGTAGTTAATTCAGATAGGAAAGCAAGACGTGATATGGATAGTATCAGAAACCACCACTAGTAGCTAAACCCGATGGCTAAATTTGATGGGGCTGTTTTTCACACAACCCCTGGCAAAGAGCTATGAAAATTTTGCGGGCGGGGGAACCAAGGTTGGAGGGGCACCAGCAAACGATACCCCTGTTTGGAAGGGGAAAAAAAGTAAACTTGTGAGAATGAAGGACAGCGAAGGCTTTGAAATAGGGTGGCCACCACTGAGGTACAAAAAATGAGGATGTCCTCAGGCCATAAGCCTGGCAGTATCTACTGATCACCTTACACATGTCCCAGGGCAGCTACCTCCAAAAAGCATATGCTTCAGTGTTCACAGAATGGGAGGATTAGTTACAGACATTAGGTTTATTATTTTTAATTAAAAGGTATAAAAAGTTCATAATATTGGAAGTCCAAAATGGTATTAATTGTCATAGGAACATAAAGCCATTTCAGATATATGGAACCTTTTGGAGCAGTAACAGTCAATCAATGGTTGCAATTTCAGCTTGCAAGCTACGGCCTGGTATCCAGAAACATAATGTAACCATGTCCTTAGCTGTATTCAGTGCAATTGTCATTGATACCAGTGTCATGTGTGTCTAGATAGCCAAATACATATCACCAGTGTTACCGACTCTTGCCATTTTACCATGAGGGTGGCAGTATTTGGTGTTTTTATTCTGAAAGCACAAGCTTCTGGAATCAAATGATTGCTTGAGAATCACAGTTTTCACTAAGTATACCAATAAAAAAAATTTTAACTTGTGGTTTTGGAAAAAAAGTGAAAATATGAATCTAATGCACCCCTAAAGGCTCAGAAACAAAACACGAAAAGAACCCCAAACATATTTGGTTTTAAATCATAATTCTTTGAGGCATGATGTACCATATGATTTCTTGGGGTTATCACTACTGTATATCTATGTTTAGTTAAAATTACAGTAGAAATTTGCCTCTGAGAGAGATTTCATACAAGAGTGTGTTATTAGGTTGACCCGAGTGGATGGCTGATGTTGAAGGCCCTGCGCACTGTTCTAGTTGAGAGCAGAATTTGATGATGAGTCTGGTATCTTTCATACAATCTAGTGTATTTACAAAGTATGTAGGAAGTTCTGTTTCCATTATCTAAGGAGGCACCAAACCATCCCACCCATCCAAAAAAACCTCAGAAATCTTCCTTTGCTCACTGCTCCAAACTCTCTCAGTCAACTTGTGACTGGGTGCGCGTGTGGACGCACACACACACACACACACACACAACACAAAAATTCCAGAGTGGCCTCGGGTCTTCTCTTTGCTATTGTGTCTTGCTCTCATGTGTAACCGTTAACCTGGACAAAGGGAAGCTGCTACATTCATCCGTTTAAGGGGCTTTAAACCAACAATAGGCCAGTGCCCTTAGTGAACATGGGCGAAGTAAGTCAATCGTGAACCAGGTAGCACAAGGACATACCTCTACACAGTCTTACCCAAAGTGATGGTGAACTAAGAACAATGAGAGTAATAAAATAAATAATTAAAAGGGGTGAAACTGCATTTACCGGGGATTAGATAAAAGGGAGAGCAACACAAGCCATCAAACACTGCTCAGGGGATTCTGTGCCCCTGCGTAGGCACAGAATTCATGTGCCATCCAGAATTTTCTTTTTCTCTGCAGAAAATACATTCTGTCAGAGACGTGCTGCAGTTACACCTTTCACCCACCAGGGGCCACTGGGGGGGGGGGGCAAGGGGGCAATTGCCTAGGGGCCCAGGAGATTTCAAAGGGCCTGGGGACCCTGGCTGCCACCACTGCGGTGGTCCTGGTAGCGGTGGCCGGGAGCCCCAGGCCGTTTGAAATCACCCAGGCATGCTGCAGGGCTCCTATGCGCACAGGCTGGATGGGTGCAGTGGCAGATTAGGGGGAGGAGAAGCTCCAGACCCCAGCAGGAGATGCGCTGGGCAGGGTGGGGATAAAGGAGAAACCCCGGACCTAAATTCCCTCTCAGCTACGCCCCTTCCCTGACCCCCACCAAGCCTAGCCCGGACCTGCTCTGGCTGGGGGACAGATGCCCCCGGCCGAGCCACTGGAGATGCTGCGACCGTGGAGAGGCACCTCTCAAGTGGCCCCAAGCTGCTTCGGTGAGAGAGGGCTGGGGGTAGTACCCGGGGCAGCCAGCACCCCAAACCCTTCATCACCAGCCTGACCCCTAACCCCACATGCACAGCCAGAGCCCTCACCTGCCCCGCACTCGAACCCTATGCCCCAGCCCTGAGCCCCCCTGAGACCGCTTGGCCCCAGCCCTACCACACACCTCCATATTGGTGCACATAACAAAAGTCATTCCGCACATGGACAGAAAAAATTACAGGGAACACTGCCACGGACTCCAGCAGAAGCTGCGCAGGGTGGGTGGGAGAAGCCCTGGACCCTGGGAGAAGACGTGGGGCTGAAGCCCCCAGTTCAGGACCCCCAGATGCCCTAGCGGCAGAAGCTGCAGGGCTAAAGCCCTGACCCCCCTCTATGCGGAGCTGGCCTGAGTCCCTCTCTCTCCCGTGCCCCCTGCAGGGAGCTGGCTCTCACTCTCAGACTGTGGAGTAATTCAGCCCAAATCTACTCACCTTGGTATCGCCATTTCCCCCATCACCACACAGCCATGAATGGATTCAGCCTAGGAGGCAGGGTCAGCATTAGCCCCATGTGGCAGGTGGGATCTAGGGCACCCAGAGGTGAAGTGAATTGCAGCCTTGGGAAACAACGGAGAGGGGCTGCCGCCGAATTGCCGCCGGGGCTGCTGCCGGAGTGCCGCCCCTTCAGCAGGGCCACCCCAGCCACCAGCTTGCTTTGCTGCGCCTGGTTCATGGCAGGGAGGTTGTTGGTTGGGGGGGGGGGCGTTGTGGTTTGAGGGGGGGATAGCAGTACCTGCAGCAGGGCAGCATCGATTTAACCTGCCCTTGCCCTGCTGGCCTGGCAGTTGCAGTGCACCGGGGCGGGGGGGCTGTTGTGGGGCAGCTGGGGTCGGGGGGACACACAGGCTGTGTGGGGGAGGGGCAGGCGGAGGCTGCAGCAGGGTTTGCGCGAGTTGGGGGGGTTGGCACAGCTGGGCTGGGGGTGGCTCGACTGGGCTGGTGGGGGGAGGGGAGTGGCACCCACTGCCCTGTGCTAATTATTGGTCAGTCTTTGGTTATCTGGGGTGCACCAGCCTGGGAGGGGGTGTCTGCTGGGGATCTGCTCTGGGTGTGTACTGGCTGCACCTCGGGTCGGCTCCCCTGCTTTTTTTTCTGTTTCTTTTTTTAAAAAAATATTAAAAGTTCTGCTCGGTGTGTTGGCCTGTCTTTCTCTTAGTGTTGGTTGGTGGGTCCTGGTGGGCACACTGGACTGGTGGTATCGTGGGGGGGGGGAGGGGGTAAGAGGGGCAAAGGGGACACTGGCTGTGTGGGTTTCTGGCGGGGCACAGAGAGGTGTTGCTTCAGGGGGTCCCCAGAGTGTATGGGGGGAGGGATTTGAATGCAGAATGAGTAGGGGGTGCTGGTATATACAGTGTGTGGGGGTGTATGGTGGAGGCCTTAGCATGGACAGTGTGTGTGTGTGGGGGGGGGTGTTGCATGGGGCCCAGAGTGGGGTGGAGGCGTGGGGGTCTGGCTCTGGCATTGTGGGGGCCCTGGCTGGGGCAGTTGGGGGGCCAGGCTTTTGTTTTTTGTTTTTATTTGGATTTTTTTCACCATCAGTGCTGGTACAGCACCCCCACCCCCAGCCTGCCCCTACCTTCCTGACCTCAGGAAAGTGAAAGTAACCTTGTCCCACTGCCCAGAGGGAGCCATGGCTGCAGAGAGCCCCGTGGAAAGTCTCCAGGAGGAAGCGACATGTCCCGTCTGTCTGGAGTATTTCACAGACCCTGTCACTCTGGAGTGTGGGCACAATCTCTGCCGAGCCTGCATCGCCCAGTGCTGGGAGGGACCTGACACAGCCGCCTCCTGCCCTCAGTGCAGAGAAACTGTGCAACAGAGAAACCT